CATTTTCTAATGTTGTTGTAAAAGGAATTTTTATATCTGTATAATAATAATTAACAGCCTTCTTTAATTTCAATTGTTCAATTTCTTTTACTAAATAATTTATTATTTTTGACCTACTGTCTATATCTATTTTTTCATTTAAAGCAAATTCTATGAAAATTTTTAATATTTCATGAGCTTTTATGGCGCTTTCGTTTTTTAAAGATTTCAATACATTATTAATAAACTCATTTGATGATAAATGTATTAGTGGAGTCCCAATCACAGTATATTCTTTAACAAGATTTTCATTAAGTAATGTGTTCATGGCATTGATGGTTACTTTATGATCAGACAAGTCCATTGCTACAAGTAATATAAAAGCGTTCCCTCTTGCTAGAAAATATGGATGATAATTGAGCATTTTTTCCAAAAGTTTTATCACTTGAATTTTATTAAAATTTTGAGAGTTTGCTATTTTTCGATACAAATAATCTTTCTGTTGAACACACGCAGAGACTAAAGCAAATAAATTTTCACATAGTGTTAATGCAACTATAGTATCATAAAAACCTTTGAAATTTGCCATCTTTTGTATTAACCATTTAATTAAATTTTTCATCAGAACAATGCTTATTGAAATATTACTTAATATATTTAATATTGTTCTACTCATATTCTCTGAAACAGTAAAATTACAACGACCTATATGTTCGATTTCATCATAACTACATCGTGAAAGATCTTCAACTTTTAACAGTTATCTGATTGATTACTTTTGACTCAAGATTTTCAAAATATGTTTCATCAGTAATATTTGTTAAAGCGCAAACTTCATCAAGAATAAATTGTATGGTTTCAATATCTGTACGTGATAAATATAATTTTTCTTTAAATTGACATGTATCTGTAACTGATAGAACTCTTGTGAATTCAATCCAATTATCTGCTGTAATTTGAGAGCGTCTTGTTAAATTCATTGTTGAATGAAGTAGTTCTTCTACATATCATGGATGCGATGGTACTTTTAAGGTTTGCATTATTGAATTCCAAGTATGACCATCTATGAAGTAAATTCTATTGAAAAACTGTGTTCTTCTTCCACTAGTAAAGTTGCTCTCGTTCAATTTCTATAGCATTTGTTAAATACTTTTTTCAAAATTCTCCCGATTCACAAAATAATAATCTTACTGATGCAATAATTCGATTATTGAGACTTTCAATATTGTCAAATGTTAAAATTAACTCATCAACTATTTGTTGAATGAATAGTGTCAGTTCTAATTCTTTATAATGAACAAAGCTAAAAATCTTTTCCAAAACTTGAAATTTAAAAATTGACTCTTGAAGATTTTTTGTTAATATAAAAGATTCATATAATAATTCATACCTTTTTTCATCATAAAATTCAGGTACTTGATATACTGGTCTCGATTTATAGTAGGGATTACATATTGATAGAATTTTTTTAAATAAACAACCTTTAATATGTGCCTTTTCCGTAAATTCAGGTAGTAAATTTTTGTAGATCTTGAACCTATCTAAATGTTTTGATATAATTTCAAAGTGGAACAATATAACTAATGGAATCAATTCACGGTTTCTATTGAAATATCCTTCTTTAAAGAAGACCTCAGAAATGCCACCTACTAAATGCGATACATTTGTATTGATTTTCTCTAAACAATTGAAGAATGCTATTGGTATATCATCCTCATTATTTGACATAAAAGTAAATATATCTGTAGGCCATAGATATGCTCGAACTGGTCTATAAATCTGTATTGTATCACTAATTTTTAAATATACGAGGACTATCTTGCGATGGGATCTTTCAATATATACATAAGTTGTTTTATTCGATTCACAAAGCTCTTTATAAATGTTTTCTTTTCTTTTTTTATAATATCATTTAGAAAATTGAAGTCTCCTAGGACAACTAATACAATGAATGCTTCTCTTCTTTCACTCGCATTTAATTTTTGACTGCTTATTTGTTATCGCAATTCTTCTCTTAACTCTATTATAGATTTTTCTTCAAGGAAAAATTCGATGATTTTTGTTTGTCAAAAATGATTCTTTGTAGATTTCATTCTGATCAAATATTAGCTTTATCGTCCAGAGTTTCCTCTAAGTACTACTTTAGCAAGATTTATAATTATGCTATAAGCTGCATCATCTCTATCCCAAGCTTCTTGGTAATAATAGGTGAATGATGTTCTTTCATTATTATTTAACCGAAGAAATTGAGCTATTTCATGATATTCTGAAATACCTGATGGAGTGTTATAATTTTTATAGCCTACATGAAAGAGCTGTAAGTAAAGACAACCAGATATTATTTTTTACGATAAATTTGATCATTTTTGGATTTTTGTTTATCGTATTTTTGAATTTAAATTGAGTTAAAACTGCTTCATCTTTGATGCTGTTTGAATAAAATCGTAAGACTGAATCGATTGGTCTATTCCAAATGATAGAATCATCGTGTAAATTTTTTAGAAGTATTTCATGAAACCTTGATTTATACCATTTAAATTGATATGTAATGTTGGCGCATGCACCTACATTTGCTGCATTATTTATTTTTTCAATTTCAAAAAATATGATTCAATTAATTCCTAATGTTCTTTTAATCTTAAGAACCCAGAAATATTTTTATAATCAAACAATAGCATATCTACTAATTTTCGAATGAATTCATATTCTGTTTGTTTTGATAAAAAGTACATATCATTTTATCAATCAATAATAACAAATGTTATTAAAAGTGTAGCAGATTTTGTGTTATATGAAATTTGAGTAAAGCAGGTCGATATATAAAAATGTCAACAAGCTTTGAGATTAAATAACACATGTTTATTTTATGACTCTTCGATGATAGTTTTTGTTAATCTATTAAACATTTTCTTATTATTTCTTTTAGAATGTTTTCTGATAATCCTTCAACTTTACGAAGTAAAAGTTTGGCTATTTTTTGCATTATTGACCATAGTAGAAGAGTAATTAATCGAAGTTCTTGACTTACATAATATATTGCAGAATTAATATTAGAAGTAACTAGTCGTTCTATCATCTGTTCCACAGCTTTTTCATATAAATCAATTCTTTCAAAATATCTTTATTTTTTATAATATTAACGTATGATTGATCAGTTTTATATTCTTTTATATGGTTTTCTCTTTTAATCGATACATTTTTAATACATTTCATATATGAGTTACAAAATAATTTGAGAGCATCATTCTTCATGTCTTCAATAGTTAATATTGGAACATAAAAATGGATTTCCAATAGTTGAACTTTTAGTATTATTTATTTTTTTTATTCATAGACTGAATAAGTAAGTTCATTAAATTTTGCATGGTAATCTCTTTATGCTTCGTTCTACTAATGTATTTATTTCTTTCATTAAAATCAGTTCGATCTACATGAATCGGACCTTCATCTAATCCTTCAAAAATAAATAAAATATTTCCATGTATTAATGATTTCATAATCAAAAATGATCGTTCTTTTCGTTCTTTATCATTAAAATATGTTAAATGAAAAGTATTTTTATAGTTAAACCTTTTTATTTTTGATAGAATAATTATTATCAAATGAAATATTTTTCTCACCTAAACATTGTTTAGCCATGTTTTTTACTAACCATTTTGATAGAGTAGTTTTACCTGAACCAGGATGACCTAAGATAATAAAATGCTTAAATTTACAAAATACTTGTTGAATTTGATATTGTTTTGTTTCTTTTAAGATTATTTTTCTCTAGAATATTTTGTTTTAATCGATTCACTTTATTTTTGATAGTAGTTGCTTTATTTTTCGTAAATATTTTTTGTTGCTTAAAAAAACATTTAGCCATTGATCAATCATAAAATTTCTATATTTAGTAGCAGGATTGAATGTATTTGTTTTCATGATAACTCTATGTAATTGTTTTCTTTCATCTTCATTTAAAAGAAAAACAGGAGATAAAGCTTACGCTTCAATTCGTCATTCATTTCGATCGTTTTCATTGCTGTTATCGATGAATGTGTTGGATCGAATTTTAATTTTGCATAAATTGTTTGCAAAGGTAAACTTATATTAGTATTAGGATATCCAAATATTGATACATATTCATTCATAAGATAATATAGATATTTTTCTCGAATACTTTTTTTTTGTTTGTAAATAATAAATATACATATATTAATGGTCTAAATGATTTAAGTCTTTTTATATATTGTAGTAAATCTTCAAAAGTATTCCTATATTGAATTTCTGTAATATTTTACATCAATCAAAACTTTTATAATTGATTAAATATTTTATTATTATTCGATTTAACAAGTTTATAAATTGACAACGATTTTTCATGTTTTATATTCAATATCCATTTCAATAAATTCGAAAAATTTGGATCAGACATTCCGACATCGTATCCAATAAATAACAAGTTTTGTTTCCTAAAAGAGTGTGGCTGTGGATGAAGATAACATGAATACTCACACCTTCGTATTCCTAGGTCTTTCGGTATCTCGCTCAAATTGTAGAAATATTATCAAAAATTCTGCATTGAATTCAAACATGAAGGTTATATTTTTATGGTTGTATTTAAATAAGTTTATCGTAACTTATTTTAGTATGCCTCAAACTATGCTGTAAATAACATTGATTTCTGCTAATCTCATCAAATATAAAGTCAAAATTAAAAAATTAAAACCATTTTTGGATTGGAATTCATGCTTTTCTGGTTCTCATAGTATGCGTGCAGTCTATATAGATCAAGTTGCTTTCTTTCATGTTTTATTTTAATAATTGTTTACACTAATCAAGATATTTTTGTCTGAGGAAAATAGTCTTTTAGATATTTAGTAATTTTATATCCTCCACCTAGAGATAAACAACGCAGTTTTGCATAATTAGTTCGCGTTGCATGTCTTGTGAAATTTTGCGTAATCCTCTTCAGTGCTTCATAATTGACAGAAAGAATAACATTATTCGACAAACATATTGTCGTATCAACTAGAAATTGTTCGACCTAATCATTATGAGCTTCAACAAGATCAAGCTTAATAAGATGAAGATATTTAATAATTGATAAATCTTCATGATATAGTTAATTTTTTCATAAATGGAAATGATTGAGCAATTTGAAGAAAAAATTCATGTTCAAATGGATGTTCATCATATAATGATACTTTATGAACATATTTAAATAATCCATCTGGAAAATTATTTGTAATATTATCATAATATTTCACGCATTCTATATGGATCTGAATAAAAATAGCAATAACTACATTGTCTTTTTTTGAAATAAACAACACAAGAAATAATTTTATTATCTTTGAATGTATATTGAATATCTTCATTTGAAGGTAAATTAATCAGATTAGGTAAATAATTAAATGAACGAATATTAAATATAAATTTATTTAATCGTGGCATATAATTGATAATATTTTCTTCTAAATGATTCCCATCAATAAGTTCATTATCATACTTGATTTTAAGATGTAAATCAAGTTTATATAAATTAGAATAATGTGAAGCAAGAAGAATACTCTCCATAGATATTGATTCCAGATCAAGCCATTTGATTTTATGATAAATTTCAGGTAAAATTTGTAAACCAAATCGATCAAGTATTAGACCAGGTAATGGATAGGTGAAATCATTCCAAAAATAAATTAATTTTATATGACTTGTCAAAATTGAATCATGTGCTTTTGTATTCAGTCGTTTATTAACACCTATTAAAGAGTAGAATACTTCGATATTAGACAATTTTTCCAAAATAATTGTAAGAATTTCATCTGATAAATCATTTATTTTAATCGATAAATGTTCCATATATATATATGAGCCTTGCTGTATTTTTTGTGTCTTCTAGATATGAAAAAAAATATATGTTAGCGTCCAATCTCGCATTAACCTAGATCAATCTTAATAATTGTTTACATCGAACTAGTCCAATGTCGGATTGGTACAATACTTTTTCGTTAATATATCAATTAATCTTTCGATGGATGCTAGACTCGAATTCTTTTCAGGAACTGTGCTGACACAATTTCATTTCGGGGGACACAATTGTTGTTAGAGAAATTAAAGGAGACCTTGTAAAGTTGGGAATAATTTTCTACGGAGCAAGAGTTTTTATGAGAAACTGTCATTCAGTTTTTGAGTCTGAACTTAGCTTTTTCATAGATGATTGCAATACTTAAAAGAACATTGTCTCAATACAAGTCAAAAAAAGAATTGCGCCTATACGAGATTGGACGCTAACGTATATAAACATGCCCATTTCGTTTATATAACCAATATTATTAATGATCGCCCACGAGAATAATAATATACTTTTTTTTATAGTCTAAATCAACAATAAACAAATAATTGAATGAATAAAAGAAAGAATAAGATTATTTCTCTCTTTGTTATTGTCGTCCAAAATATTTGATAGCATGAACATTTATAACCATTGAGTGTTATTTTATTCTGTTATTACGAGAATTATATTTTATGCGACCAACAAAGAGTTTCGTTTTATTATTTCATATTAATAGACTGCATTATCAAGGTAGCTAACATAATATATGACTTGATAATAACTATTTATTAAAATAAATATAATTGCTTGTCACAAGTATCTTTGGCTTGTTTTAGAAAATTATATACATTCTAGTTAGATATTGACTGGCATAGTACTATTTTGGAAATTGAGAATATTTGTAATTTGAATAACTGTCTATTATAATCATCTTATAGCTGTTTACTTTTTCTGATCTTGTTTGAGTCTTTTTGTTCTATATGTCACTAAACTAATGAACAAAAACTTTCTGTTGCAAGTATTGCTTGATTCTTGAAAAGTTAGTAGAAGTTATAGAATGATATAGAACATATATTCAAAATTTGCATTTCATAAGTCAATGTAATTTATTCATTCTACAGATCATAAAAATTAGAGAAAAGAAAATCAAATAATTAATACCATATGGTAATAGTTAAACTAGTGGTGTATCCAGATGGGAACTAGAGGGAGCTCAGCTACCTCACGAAAATTTCTATTTTTGTAATTTTGCTAATTAACATCCTTATTATTGGCAGAATGCAGTGTGGTTTATTTTATTTCTATGTAGTAGGATATCAAAAGATAATCAATAATTACTCGTTCTTTGAACCTTTAGACAGTTCTTGTAAACAAGTATGTAAAAGTGAGTATAAAGTCAAAAAAGCAATACATTTAAAAAGATAAGCATGCAAAAGAATGGTTAATTTAATTATACCTCGTGAAGAGTGAGTCCTTTTGCGGTTGCATTTTTTATTACAATAAAACACTTTTTCACTGAGCACAGAACGTGAATTCATGCAAAAATAATAAGAGAAAGACTTTTGATTCTTATTTTTCTTTATCTGCTCGAAAGAAAAGTAAGCCTATACATCCGAACTTTGATGATAATATCAATAATGAAAATGTTAGTTTACAATTATTTGATTCATATGCATCCGTCACTAATGACGAACTTGCTACAACTTATCCAATGAAATCGTCTAAAATCAGAGATGAAAAATCTGCCAGTGTGCGTGAACACACATTTAGAGAGATTTTTCTCAGTGAGAGAAGTTTTAAAAAAGATATTGTTTTGGAGAAACTTATTTGAAAATTATTGTCCAGGATTGTTTGTTCGAAACTATTGAGTTTGCAGAAATTCTTCGACTTAGTTTTGCGTACGAGGAAGTTTTCCCTTTTTATGGTAGGTTGTGCATTTCTGCTCAAAATACTAACAATGACAACGAACAAAACACAGTCTTTTAAGAAAAGACTTAATAATTAAATATCTGATGATATTATTTATATTATTTATTCATGTCAAGATCCACCGGTTCAACCAAAGCTTATTTCTAATACAAGAAATCATGAAAAACGATCACTCATGGCGAATGCGTTTGATGGACGGTCATGGCTAGACAACTCAATTCAACAAATGTCGTAGTTACTGTTATTATTGTCATCATTTCAGTGTACTAATGTCGTCATCAGATAAAAAGTCTCACACTGATGCATTCGTCAATAATCGACTTCAACATTGGAAAAAACCTCTTGATAAATCGAAAGATTTTGATCGATATTTAAAAAGTCACAGTCATATTTTAGCAGGAAGCAATTATGCAGATTGTCTACAACACACACAATCACAACGAAATGTTATATTTATGCTAGACAAAGGTAGAATGACACAAATACGTCGAAATCGAGAGCGACTAACGACAATTGCATCAGCCCTATTATACGTACTTAAACTTCTTTATTGTTTTCGTTACATTGTCGGAAGAGAACTCAACCCGTTTATATTCAGCTTCATAAAAAATAGGGAGCTGAGTCCCTCCTACGAGATTTTTCTGGCTAAGCTCCAAGTTAGAATAATTGTTTGATCGAAACAAACAGACAAATATCGAAGACTATATAAATCACGTTTTACTCTATCAGATGAATGCTGGAATCGTATTGTTTACTAAAATAAAACAACAAAAACAAGTCTAAACTTTCAGTACACAATAAACAAATCGAATGTTATGGCCTAATGTACATACTTAAAGTGTCTTTATACAACGTAAAGTATGATTGATGTATTGTGACTCATTGCACTAGCTTCTATGCTTTGCTAGTAGAAAAAAGACAACGATCAATACTGACAGAAGAGTACGTTCTTTGAATACGTTACTCAAGTAAACATACAACCTTACCTATTTTACATTTGTAAAGTACGTTATGTTATCGGTATAGTATAAATACAATGCTCTTACTTCATATTATTATCCATAAAACAAATATACATATTTCTCAATTAATAACAAGATGCCTCCTCTTCAAGAAACAAATGGACATATCAATCAAACATTCACCAATATTCAGCATGATGACACCAAGAAATCCAACAACGATTCACAAACTCAATTTGTTATAGAAATACGTGGAGGTGATACATTACAAGTTCAAATGTCAGTTGATGGTGCTCGAGCATTAGCAACATTATCTCCACGTATTACTGTTACTTTTCATAATGTTTCGAAACTTATCAATGTTCCTGCAAAAATGATTGATCCTTCATCTAAAGAAAGATTTATTCAACGAAAATTACTTGAT